TACTGTCACTTTTTGATCACTTTAAAGCATCCTTGCTGAATAAAATGTATACATTTCTTTCTTTCTTTCAATCAATCAATAATCCTACTGATCCCTACAACTGTAGTGTGTATCTCAATTAAGTCTGGGAAAGCGACTTGGAAACTTTGCCAAGATGTAAGCTACAAACTAACAAAAAAACAACAACATCTACAATATATTATACTTATGAAATGTTTCCTAACATATTTATCTTACAAATATCCTATAAAATCAATCCAAAACAACCTGATCATTTAAATTTTATGAGTGTTATTTTTCTGTAACAGAAAAGGATTTCTTTTTTTAATAAATGAAAAATCTCAAATACATGGCAGCCAGAGTTGTTAATGTTAAACTAAAAGTATTAAAAATAATTTTCAGCAATTGAAATAAATAAAAAAAAAATATTTAACTTTAGGAACAATTTATAATATTGCCTTAGCAACTAACTGAAATACGCTTAAATACGTAATTTACTGAAACTGTAATATTTTTTATAGATTTGATAGCTATATAGAAATAAAAAATTGTAAAGCACAAACTTACTAAAACTAAAATGTATATAACTGAAACTATAAAAATGAACGCTAAATCAAAGTACTTTAACAGTACATAAATAATACTAAAATAAGACTGCTGACAGCTTTAAACTTGAATACATTTACACTAAACATAACACCCTCGCTTAAACAGTGATGAAAAGCAGCATTTGACAAATATTCCACAACACAAAAATAAACCAAAACCGGTTTTAAACCTGTTCATTTACATGAACCAAAACAAACGTTTCCAACGCTATGTGAGAGCAGTAAAGATGCGTATTAATTGCTGTAAAAATGGCTTGTTACTTGAAAAGTTAAGACTATTTTAAAAACAGCTGAACTAATGTCACACTTCTGAAAAGGGTCAATTTAGTAGTGCCACTGCTTTTTAAATTTAAAAATACATTAAATAAAGGTATAAATATATTAACCATCTCCACTGATAGCCATATAGATATAGAGATACTACAGTATAAACGGTATATCAATCTCCATTGTTAACATTTCTAACATTAACACCATCTAGGTTGCAGAACTAGATGAAAACCATAACAGTTTGCATACCGCAATTCTCCAAACATGCAATAAACATATGCAAATCATGTCTGCTGTCCAAATTCAAACCTCAAATTTAATTTCATTACTCGCCGTCTACAACCACTTTCAATTTCAAGCAAAAAAAA